GACATGACGCCCGTCCCCCCTTCCCCCTTCCTCTTTCCCCCTCCCCCCTCCCCCCCATTGCCTGTCTCTCCTCTCTCGGGCGTGGCATGCACACTCCAGAACACTTAAAGGGACATTAACCAAATTGAAATCAAGGTCTGAGGCCTCCATTAATCTAACTAACGCGAACCGAGAGCTTTTGAACGCGACCTTCTATTTCGAAAGATTTTTTTTTTCTTTTTTCTTTTCTTTTTCTCTCGTTTTTTTTCGTTAACCGGCGATCCAGACAGAGCGTCGTCCAACCTTTCTAACATTTATATGACGTCGGTGCGTTTATCGACCGGTGTTTCCCCTTCAAGTTTGGGTTATTTTACCTGCTCGTGAGTCGATCGGCGTGTCGGCTTGTAAACACAGACGCAGACGGTGTTTATTCTTCGTTTTTTGCAAGGGTTCATTTTGGAGATTGTTTTGTAGGAGTGGATTCGATCGTTGGCCATCAGGGTCGGATTCGATGCCACGTGGTAGACAGTGACTCTGCGATTTTGTTGAAGCCGAAGAATAAAAGTGAAACCACGACTGTTGTGCGGTTTTATATCCTTGAAATTCGATTTATTTACGGAGAGATATTCATGTGGTTTACCTCCTGTAGCATGTACTCTCTCTCTCTCTCTCTCTCTCTCTCTCTCTCTCTCTCTCTCTCTCTCTCTCTCTTCTCTCTTCTCTCTCTTTCTCTCTTATCTCTCTTTCTCTCTTTCTCTCTCTCTCTCTCTCTCTTCTCTCTCTCTCTCTCTCTCTCTCTCCTCCCTCTCTCTCTCTCTCTCTCTCTCTCTCTCTCTCTCTCTCTCTCTCTCTCTCTCTCTCTTTTCTCTCTCTCTCTCTCTCTCTCTTTTCTCTCTCTCTCTCTCTCTCTCTCTTCTCTCTCTCTTTCTTTCTCCCTCTCTCTCTCTCTCTCTCTCTCTCTCTCTCTCTCTCTCTCTCTCTCTCTCTTTCATTCTCTCCTTCTCTTCCTCTCTGCCATCCTCCATTCTTCCTTCCTACCACCGTCTTTTCTCTTTCTATCTTCTGTTTTTATACTGCGTTGCTAGGTTTTCCAATATTCATGGATTTAGAAATCATGTTTTTTTATTTATTCATTTGTTTAATAATTTCATTTTGTTATAATTACTGCAGTTGTTATGATAAATAAAACGGACATTTGAAATTATTTACTGTTATGACATGCACAAAGATATATATTTATTTGTGCATTTTGGTCTTCTCACGAACTTTATTCTTTCTTATCACTTCTCTCACTCTTTATCATCTTTCTGTTCTACGTAGATGATCGTATGACGTGTAAAGGTTGAATCTAAAAGTGTTCGAACTAATCTTACCTTCTTGCAATGTCTCGTCTCCTTTCCCGTCTCTTTCTCTCTTCTTTTCTCTGTTCTCTCGTTCTATTTCCCTCTTCTCTCTCCGTCTCCACCTCTTCCCTTCCCCTCTCTCCCCCTTCTTTCATTCCCCTCTCTCCCCCTTCTTTCGTTCTTAATAGTTTTTTTTATTTCTCTCTCTTTTCCTTCTTCTTTTTCTCTTGTCTTCTCTTGCGCATTCTTCTCTTCCCCTTTTCCTCCACATCTACCCTCCTTCCGTCAACTCTCCCCTTCTCCCTCTCTTCTTTTTTCTTCTCGTCTCTTCCCCCTTTCTCCATCACTTCTATTCCCCTCTCCCTCTCTTCCTTCTCCTTTCCCTCCTCTCTTCTCCCATATCCCTCTCTCTCCTTCTTTTCCTTTCCCTTCACCTCTCCTTCCTTCTCCTCTCCCTCCTCTCTTCCCCCTTATCCCTCTCTCTCCTTCTTTTCCTTTCCCTTCACCTCTCCTTCCTCCTCCTCTCCTTCCTCTCTTCCCCCTTTCTCCACCACTCCTATCCCCCTCTCTCTCCTTTTCCTTCGCCTCTCCTTCCTTCTCCTCTCCTTCCTCTCTTCCCCCTTTCTCCATCACTTCTATTTCCCTCTCTCTCCTTCTTCTCCTTCACCTCTCCTTTCTTCTCCTCTCCCTCCTCCCCCCTTTCTCCAGCACTCCTATTTCCCTCTCTCTCTTTCTTTTCCTTCACCTCTCCTTTCTTCTCCTCTCCCTCCTCCCCCCTTTCTCCAGCACTCCTATTTCCCTCTCTCTCTTTCTTTTCCTTCACCTCTCCTTCCTTCTCCTCACCCTCCTCTCTTCCCCCTACGCTAACCCTGCCTGAGCTCTAACATCAATATTTAGCCGCTGCGACGTTTTTACAAGGCGTCTGTAAGCCAGATTTGTGTAGTGTGTGTGTGTGTGTGTGGAAGAGGGAGCATGTGAGAGAGAGTGTGTGTGTGTGTGTGTGTGTGCGTGTGCGTGTGTTTGTGAGGGAGTGCGTGTGTGTGTTAGGGAGGGAGAGGGGGGGTTGTGTGTGTGCGTGTGTGTGAGTGCGTGTGCGTGCGTGTGTGTGTAGGGGGACGATCTGAGTGTAAAGGTTTGTGTACTTAGAGGGCGAGGATCCGTAAGCGTGTATTTGTCTGTGTGTTTTTATTTTAAAAATCGCAGGAATGAAAGTTGGAAATTAAGTCACACGAGAACCAGAAGGGAAAAATCCAAAACTTGTCTATTTAAATATTCTACCATTTTTCATCATTAATACATTATCCTTTCCAATATATATATATATATATATATATATATATATATATATATATATATATATATATATATATATATATATACATATGCATACATACATATACATATGCAAATACATATACATATACCTACATACATGCATATACATATACATATACCTATACATATGCATATACATATACATATACATATACATACATACATACTTACATATATACATACATACATACATACATGCATGCATATATACATATACATGCATACATACATACATGCATACATATATACATATACATACATACATACATACATACATACATGCATATATACATATATACATATATACATATATACATATACATACATACATCCATACATACACACTTCCTCACATACACATATATTTTACTAGTTATTTTCTATTTTTATATATCTTTTATTCATTATTATTTATTATTATTATTTAATATTTTACTGGCTCATCCATCGTCTCCTTCGTCAATTTTCTTCTGTTTCCTTGCATTTTCGAGACAAATCTTTGTGGGACGAACGAGCGAAACGTTATATTTACGAATTCTATTTTGTTTATTAATGTGTGTGTTTGTTTGTTTGTTTCTTTGGTTGATTTTATTTATTTAATATTTTTCGTTCACATATATGTATTTCAGAGCATAAAGCCTCTAGTTGTTTCTTCTGTCTCATCTTCACACCATAAATTATTTTTCGTTACGTCATAAAACACGATTGTGAAAAAGCGACAAGACACTGCATTGAAAGGTGACTGTCATCCTTGTCATAACACTGACATGATAGACAAGATAGCGATGTGTGTAAGTTTTTTTCTTTTTTCATTCCTCGAGAGAGAGAGAGAGAGAGAGAGAGACAGAAGAGAGAGAGAGAGAGAGAGTTTGAGAGAGAGAGAGAGAGAGATAGAGAGTTTGAGAGAGAGAGAGAGAGAGAGAGAGAGAGGAAGTAAGTGATGAGGGTGGAAGTGCGAAGGGAGACAGAGAGAGAGAGAAAGAAAATCATGATTAACAGAAATGAAAAGGAAATATGTCACTGTTGTAGCATTGCAGAGTGCAGTGATACGGAGACGGTGCAACCTGCGTTATCTCACTAGAGCAGGACGGTTGCAAAAAAGCGGTCAACATTTCGGACACTTGCACCCTCCCCCCTCCCCCTCCTCCTCTCTCCCTCCCGCTTCCCTCCTCCCTCCTCCTCTCTTCTCCTCTCTTCTCCTCTCTTCTCCTCTTCTTCCTCCTGTCTTCTCCCTGTGACCTCTTTTCTCCTGTCTCTCTTGCCTCATCCTCCGTCCTATCTTCTCCGTCCTCTTCTATCTCATCTTCTTTGAACTTTGACCTTATTCTCGCCTTCCTCTGCTCCCTCCTTCTTCTACCTCCTTTCTCTCTATCTATCTATCTATCTATCTCTCGTTCTCTCTGTCTGTCCCTCTCTCTCTCTCTCTGTCTGTCAATCTATCTATTTATCTATCTCCCCTCTCTCTCTATCTCTATCAATCTATCTATTTATCTATCTATCTATCTCGCCCCCCCCCCTCTCTCTCTCTCTCTCTCTCTCTCTCTCTCTCTCTCTCTCTCTCTCTCTCTCTCTCTCTTCTCTCTCTCTCTCCCTCCTCTCTCCTCTCTCCTCTCCCTCCTTCCCTCTCCCTCCCTCTCTCTTTTCTTCCCCACCCCTTCTCCTTGTTTTCCCTCCCTTCTCCTTTCTTCCCCTGCCCCTTCCTCTCTCTCCCCTTTCTTCCTCTACCTTCCTTTCTCTTCGACTTTCCATATCGTCTCCCCCCCTCCCCCCCTCCTCCTGCCCTCGGTCATGTTTCTGGGTTTGATTTTTAATTGGCTTTGTATAATCAGTGTTTATCTTGTTTTCTTTCTCTCTCTGTTTTTTTGTTCTTTATTAAGTGTGCGATTTATTGTGGTATCTTTATCAAGTTATTGGGTGAAGATGATTTAGCATATGTCCATTTATTTGTACATTTATACACCGTTATTTTCTGTATATTTGTTTGTGTGTGTGTATGTTTATATATATATATATATATATATATATATATATATATATATATATATATATATATATATATATGGACACGTACACATAAACTCACACACACACACACAACACACACAACACACACAACACACACACACACACACACACACACACACACACACACACACACACACACACACACACACACACACACACACTCACATTCACACACACACACACAAACACACACACAACATACAACACAAACACACAACACACCACACAACACACACTCCTCCATAAGCAAATCCTTAATAAACCTTACTCACCACGCCCATAAACGTTCTCAAAACATGGTCTTCCCTTTTTTTCCAGAATGGGCGAGCAGAGTGGAAGTCGTATAGCCCTCGTACTGGTCAACTTCCTGGTATTTGCCGGGACTGTCGCCATCAACCAGCTCTCGGCCTTTCCCCAGTTCGCAGGAGGTGAGTTCCGACCCCAAATGCCCCAGGTTGAGTCCAGATACCCCCCCGCCAGGTTGATTCTAGATACCCCAGGTTGATTGTAGATACACCAGGTTGAGTCCAGATACCTCCGTAGGTATGGTCGTAAACACCCCAGGCTGATTCTAGATACCCCAGGTTGATTTTAGATACCCCGGGTTGATTTTAGATACCCCGGGTTGATTCTAGATACCCCAGGTTGATTCTAGATACCCCAGGTTGATTCTAGATACCCCAGGTTGATTCTAGATACCCCAGGTTGATTCTAGATACCCCAGGTTGATTTTAGATACCCCGGGTTGATTCTAGATACCCCGGGTTGATTCTAGATACCCCGGGTTGATTCTAGATACCCCAGGTTGATTCTAGATACCCCAGGTTGATTCTAGATACCCCAGGTTGATTCTAGATACCCCAGGTTGATTCTAGATACCCCAGGTTGATTGTAGATACCCCAGCTTGAGTCCAGATACCCCCGTAGGTATGGTCGTAAACACCCCAGGCTGATTCTAGATACCCCAGGTTGATTTTAGATACCCCGTGTTGATTCTATATACACCCCAGGTTGATTCTAGATACCCCAGGTTGATTTTAGATACCCCGGGTTGATTCTAGATACCCCAGGTTGATTCTAGATACTCCAGGTTGATTCTAGATACCCCAGGTTGATTCTAGATACCCCAGGTTGATTCTAGATACCCCAGGTTGATTCTAGATACCCCAGGTTGATTCTAGATACCCCGGGTTGATTCTAGATACCCCGGGTTGATTCTAGATACCCCAGGTTGATTCTAGATACCCCAGGTTGATTCTAGATACCCCAGGTTGATTCTAGATACCCCGGGTTGACTTTAGATACCCCAGGTTAATTCCTGGTACCCCAGATTGATTCTAGATACCCCAGGTTGAGTCCAGATACCCCCGTAGGTATGGTCATAAACACCCCAGGTTGATTCTAGATACCCCAGGTTGATTCTAGATACCCCAGGTTGATTCTAGATACCCCAGGTTGATTCTAGATACCCCAGGTTGATTCTAGATACCCCAGGTTGATTCTAGATACCCCAGGTTGATTCTAGATACCCCAGGTTGATTCTAGATACCCCAGGTTGATTCTAGATATACCCCAGGTTGATTCTAGATACCCCAGGTTGATTCTAGATACCCCAGGT